AAGGCACAATAGGCCAAGAAAATGAATCAGTGAGAAAATAACTCCAGGGAGATTGTCTGAAGGTACACTATATCACATACATCTTTTGGTAACTGCATCAGGCTTCCTAAAAAAGGCACAGATAAATACATTATGTTCACCATATAGATTCAACACATGATTTCCTTACATAGGGTTTCAATACCTTCTTCTTCAAAATCCACCATCAGTTCTATTACCCAGAGGAACACAATTTACCTTTTACTTTCTTTTCTTTCATGAATGCAAGACTTGATCAACATTTCATTATTCATTTATTCAAATAAATGTTGACTGTGGCTTTACTGTATACCAAGAACTGCACTAGGTTAGAGTTAACTGTTAACAGACAAAACCTTATGGTTGACACATCCATGGAATTTATAATCTAGTAAAATAGACAGAACATCATGAAGGAAAGAAGTAATTATGAAATGTAAAAATCAGTTTAGCGGCTTACAAGAAAATAAGGATGTGTCCTTATACAATAATGGAGAATAATGGAGGGGATATCGGTCAGGGCATCACTGAGGTGAGTCGTCCAAATGGCTCTTTGAGAAAAGTGATGTTTACTTTCTAAAGGAATGAGGAGTTCAGACATGTGAAAATCAAAGGAAGAATACAGACAGAACACAAAATCCCCAAAATAAATAACACAGGCTTTTTTTAGAAACCAAAATATATTATGCTTGGCTAAAGTGTACTGAACAGGACAACTCTACACTTCAATGAATGGAGAGTTGGGAACGTGCTTCATCACAAGGCTACCCAAGCCATATCACAAGCATCCTACTAGACTGCACAATAAACTACTGAGAGTTTTAAAAGAGGAGCAATCTAAAGAAGTCACATGCTTGACATCAATTACCATCCATGACATAGGAAGAGTGGCCCCCTAAAGTCTACATTTAACAATAGCTGTGGGGATTATACAAATTATTAGTCACAACTAATGAAAGCCTTGATAATCACAACATGTTAGTAACACGGTAACCACAGATGCAATGTTTGTAGTATTTTCTATTGCAGACTAATGATCAAGTACAGGACAGTCCACAGGAGACAGTATTGGTTTTGGAATCAGACTTATGAGGATTCAAACTCCAAGACAACAATACATGGGCCACCCATCAGAGCTAGGCCATTTAAAGCTCTCTACCCCTAGACTTCTTACTGTACAATGTGGGGAAATGTGGCCAAAGTCTCTTGATTTTTTGTCTAAATAAATTTGGCCCAAAATGTTAAGTATGAATCATAGGGTTTTTTTGCATATGTCAAAATGTGTCATAAAAATCCAAGGTCAAGATAAATAGAAGAGCTTTGGAATAACTCAGTTTTAAAAGTGAAAAACTGTGGGAAAAGAATGGTAATTTCTCATGCAGTCAGATTCTTTATACGGTTTCTTGAATGCTATAAAAATAAACTTCCTTTATTCCTTCTGCCTTGTTTAATTTTCCTTCTAACTTACCAAATGGGAATTCTCATTTCCTTCTAGACACAGGCATATAAGGGGTCCTCAGTTTAGACAAAATGTAGATACTGATGAGACCAGTAAAGCCCCTATTCTGGATACTGCTACATAGCATATGGACTCTCAGTCCACCAGCTTAGACTGAATGTCCACATTAATGATAAAAAGCTTTTCAATAAGCATGATAAAACCCATAACTCCAACTGCCCAAACTTGTTTGAAAGAAGCCAAATCTTCAAAGGTACCTATACTTTCATGAAGATATGAGAAAAGTGTAAGGAAGATATTATCGTGCTAAGTAGAATATAACATATAGAGTCTGCACTGATTTTGTTATCAATATTATTCCTTTCTACAGAAAAGGAAACAGTGAATTAATGAAACTTGATTGTAAAGACTTGACTCAACACTATGTCACTCTTTCCTCTCATCCTAGATATGTTCAGAATCTGTTCAGAATGAGGACATCACATCTCCTGGGAATGCTTGGCTCTCTCCAAAGATGATATCCTCACAGGCTTTCACCAACATCACCTTCTTCCAGCCACAATCTTTCCTAATGACTGGCATCCCAGGACTAGAGGCCGCTCATGGCTGGATTTCCATCCCATTCTCTTCCATGTACACTGTGGCACTCACAGGAAACTGCCTCATCCTCCTGGCTGTGAGGAGGACCCATAGCCTACACCAGCCCATGTACTACTTCCTATCCATGCTAGCCCTAAGCGATGTGGGTCTCAGCTTGTCCACAATGCCCTCCACCCTAGCTGTGCTTTGGTTTGACTATCGTTTCATTGACTTCAATGCCTGTCTAATCCAGATGTTCTTTCTTCATTTCTTCTCTGTGGTAGAGTCCTCAGTGCTCTTGGCCATGTCATTTGACCGTTTTGTGGCTATCTCCAACCCACTGCGCTATGCATCTGTCCTCACTAACAATGTTATCATCAGGATAGGGATAACAATTACAACCCGAGCTACTTTGTCCCTCTTACCATTGCCTTTTTTGTTGAAGCGACTGAACTACTGCCCTGGCAAGATACTCCTGTCTCATTCGTTCTGTTTCCATGCTGATGTCATGAAGCTGGCCTGTGCTGACATTACTGTCAACATCCTATATGGACTTTATGTGGTTCTGTCCACAGTGGGTATAGACTCCTTGCTTATTGTCATGTCCTATTCCTTGATTCTTTACACAGTGATGGGGCTAGCCTCTCCCAGGGAGCGTGTCCGGACCCTCAACACATGCGTTTCCCATATTTTGGCTGTCCTTGTCTTCTACATTCCGGTCATAGGTGTGTCCATGATCCACCGTTTTGGAAAACACCTGCCTCACATTGTTCATGCCCTGGTTGCATATGTGTACCTTGTGGTACCTCCTGTGCTCAACCCCATCATCTATAGTGTCAAGTCCAAGCCCATCAGGGGAGCCATGTTCAGAGTCCTAAGTAAGAAAGGCTAAGGCTAGTGAAGTTTAAATACAACACAAATTGTATAAAATAGAAAATATGCTATAACAAACACTAAAAAATTCTAGTTGTGAAAAGACTGTCTTCTTTATTTCTGTTACAAATCTTTCTATTGTTTACTGTGTAAAGATGCAATTGTATGAATTAAACACTGATAATAAGAACATGAAATGTTTGCTTTTGTTTCCATAATTTTACACTTATTACCAGGAAAAAGGTATATAGAAAACTGTACTGTAGACTGTACTGTTATGAACTAATTCTGCCATCAGCTTGAGCACAGGTGTGGTACAGGCTGGGTCATGGTACCAGAGCTCAATCGACCACTAAAGAATTGGCATGTAGGATGAGTATCTATAAAGGAGGTGCGAAGGAAGAAATTTTGAATCCAGACGTCACAAATTTTTATTTTTCTGTGCTCATCAAGCACAAATCCATACTATAGATCTTTATTTTCCTATTGTGCTTAGTTTCCTGTCGTGGGGAATTTTTCTATGTGAGCAATGTCTGTCTGTCTGTCCAAGAAGCTTCCTAATAAATCTTTGTGAAAGAAATTACAAGAAAATATAAATCAATAGTTGACAGAACATACCTGAAAAGGTTGAAAAGAGGATAATTTATTTCATGTAAAAATAAATTTTTCTAGTTTGTTCAGAAATTGAGGGAGATAAAGAAAAATAGAACCTTATGAAAAAAGGTTGCACTTTTTATGTAAATACATTCATGGGGAAGAAAACATTATTTTACTCCATGTTCTACCACTGATCTATACATGTGATTTTATGTATACATATACATATGTGTGTACATATATGTAATATAGATGACACTGTAAATTATATATGATAAAACTATTGCAGTGTTTGAAATAAAAATGGACATAAAGTCAGTTTGTACATGACTTCACATAATATTCTAAGTTTATTTATACCTAGTAAATAAAGATTATTTATTTTAAAAAATATTTTATTAGATATTTTGTTATGCAATAGCTACTAGTATTAACTGCAGATTGGAGGTGTGTTAAGCACATGTGCTAGACTGAACTGACCTGAAATCTCTACTGAAATCTGAAGTACTAACTCTGTCCCTAAAACAAACAAAAAAAATGCATTTGCCAGTGTAGTTAATCCATTCATCAAGCATTATATATGAATGACTCCAAAGGGACTGCAAATATAAAGCATAAAGAGAGTGAGATTGAGTGGAGATGTACACCTGTGATTCCAACACTTGAGAGGTGCTTACAAGTGAACCATCAGTTTAAGATCATCCTTAGCTACATGGTTGTGGGACTGCATAAGGGTATCCTGGGTCATGGTTGAGCAGGTACTTATAACCCCGAGATTCTCCGTGGAATTCTGCGTGAGAACCGGCAGGAGTTCGGTCCCTCCCATCATCTAGGATCCTGAAAACAGTCACATTTCCATAGAGTCACAGAGGCCAGGCTATAGGCCTCCGGCCCTAGAGATTTACATACTAATGAAGGCCAGAGGGCAGAGCAAATTAAACATTCCTCCCCCAGATCCTCCCCTAATCCTCCCCCTTCTCCCTCCCTATATAACTCGAGACTGCCCTGAGTTTTGGGGGGGTACGCCTAGATCCATCTATTATCCGTCATGACAATAAATCTTTTTGGAACCAAGGACTTCCTCGTGTTACTGGGGCCTGCCGCCGCCAAGGCCCTCAGGCCGCTGGAACCATAAGAATCCTCCTCCCTGATGTGGGACCCGCCCCGGCGGCAGGCTTGCGCTGCTGTGGCGGCCTTTTTAAATTTTCCCGACACATGGTGAGTTTGAGGCCAGCATCATGAGAGTCTCTCTCAAAAATAAAATTATCAAAATGAACACACACACACAAATACCCTCTAATCACACACACACACACAAACACATGCCCTACAATCACAGACACACACATACAAATGCCCTCCAACCACAGACACACATACACACACACTCAAACTCATGTCCAAGCAAAGGCATACGTGCAAGTTCACACTAAAACCTTGGAAGAGTAAACACCAATGGTTCTTAAATTCTTTTGATTAACAGATTAAATATTTTTATTATGCTTTAATTTCTTTTATATTTTCAAAATATCTGTGATTTTTGTTTACAGTGATCACATGTCAATTTGCAAATAGTAAGATCATGTCTTTTTCTCAACTGCAATGTCAGAACAATCCTGGGCAATGACTGACTATTCTCCCTCTTCCCCTCAGTTCAAAGTGACCAAATCTTGCTTTGAGTACATTTCATATTATTTCCTTTGACCACCCCTCACCTTGGCCTAGTCAATTTTATCATGCACATAGTTCTTATATTCTGGAGTATAGTCAAAAAAGTTGGGTGTGCAAGTGGGTCTCTGTGCTAACCATGTCCAAGAAATTCAACCCTCTTTGCTGCCTGCCTCTCATACTCACCAGTCATACCTTGAATTTGAATATGACTTTACTGTGGGTGATAATCTCAATCCTTGATCAATCTACTCCTATTCTGCTCCTACAGTGCCCTGCCCACTCCTGTAAATGCTGTAGCTAGATAAGGATTCCTAGGTAGGATTCCTAGATAGGACTCTTAGCTATATCCATGGTAAGTACATCTGGCAGGAATACAGTCCTTATTTCCCTCATTGCAGTACAGCTTAAGGCCCTGGGTATCTGCAGTGCTAGCTTGTATATGTGCTCTTCATTTTGTTTGGACCCATCTTTTCCCTAGCCCTACTTCCTGGTCAGTCTCATTCAGCCTATTCAGTTTCATCTCTTCCTTTTGGCTCTCTACTCCATGGTGACCAGCCCTCTCTTTATACAACAAGCTCCTGAATAGTCTCAACTGTGTCTCCCAAGTCATTCTTCAGATACCCATGGAATATGCAGCTGACTGCATTGTTTCTCAAATAAACCCACTTGGGAACACTCCAGTTTCTATTGCGTGTGTAATGATTAGGCTAGGAAGTGAGCAATGTTTATTGGAATGATTAAAGCCATGAATTCTACTGATAGAAAATCACTCAAAACAGCATAAGTAAGTGGAAATAAAGGACCAAATGGCTCCTCCAAAGACAGTGTGAGACTCTGAAAATTCCCAACTCAGTATTCTGTCAGTCTAACAATTCTACATACATAGAATTAGACATGAAAACTCTTCTATTTTTTTCATCTATTTTTAAGCTTCTGTGGTCCTATATAATTCATTGATTCCCATGAAATATCAATTTCCCCATTGGTGCAATTGAGGTACAAATAAAAAGTTGATAAACTTAAATAAGTAAAAGTGTCTTCATGGCTGTGACAACCGTCATAACAATGTGTGTCATCTCACAATGTAGGCAAGTGTATTTGCTTTGGCCTGGGACCCAAAAGAAAAACAATATTTCTTTGGAGATTGTTTTGAATAAGGAATTCAGTTCTAACTTCTTAGAAATTCAAAGTTATTATGGATTCTGATGAGGAAATGGGGTTTAAATGAGATTATATAATTTTATTATAGTCTTATGTTTATTTTTCTTTTGTCATGCCTTCGATGAAAATTTTGGTGTCCATCTCCAAATGTTGTGAACCATCATAAGTGAAATGAAGTTTGAAAATGGTGATAAAATTGGGACTAATAATTTTCAAAACACAAGTGTTGATCTTAATAATCATCTAGAGAAAACACAAAAAGGAATGTGATATTAGAAAATTGAGGTTACAGGTGTTCTTCTATTCCTTGTAGAATTTCCACAACTAGTTTCATCTTTGAAAAATCTGAGCTCAGTTTTGATTAAGAAAGATTTATTTTCTTAATACAGTCTTCTAAGATATCATACTAAAGTATGAATTACAGAACTTTGGATCAATGAAGGTTTTATCATGGATTCCTAGTGATCTGAAGAGTGTGTGGTCATGAGAAAAAGACGAAGGATGCGCTGCCGAATCTCCTTTGTCTTTACTCCATAGACGATGGGGTTGAGCACAGGAGGAACCAGCAGATAGATGTTGGCCATAATGACAGGTAGGAGAGAGTCACGCCTCTTGCTGAAACGGTGCACCATTGACAATCCAATGAAAGGGACATAGAAGATGAAAACAGCGCAAACGTGAGAGACACAAGTACCAAATGCTTTTGCCTGGGCTTCGCGTGTCAAGCCCAATACAGTCTTGAGGATGAGCAAATATGAGAAAGAGATGAGAAGTGAGTCCAAACCAATGGCAGAGATGATGACAATGAGTCCATAGATGACATTGACACGGATGTCAGCACAGGCCAGCTTCATGACGTCTTGGTGTAGGCAGTAGGAATGAGAAAGGATGTTGGAATGACAGAAAGGCAACCTTTTGATGAAGACAGGTAAGGGTGCCATCAGTGCTGCACCCCGAACCACAGCAGCCATGCCAATCTTGGCAACACGAGGCAATGTAAGCACAGTGGCATGCCGTAGAGGATGGCAAATGGCCACATATCGATCAAAGGCCATGGCCAGCAGCACTGTGGATTCCATGCCAGATAAGGAATGGATGGCAAACATCTGTACCAGACAAGCATCAAACTGGATGGTAGTGGAATTGAACCAGAAAATGGCCATCATTTTTGGCATGGATGAGGTAGAGATGAGGATGTCTAGGCCAGAAAGCATGCAAAGAAAGATGTACATGGGCTCATGTAGGCTGTGCTCTGTCCTCACAATGTAGATGATTGTCAAGTTACCTAGCACAGCAATAAGGTAGAGGGAACACAATGGGAAAGCCAACCAAAACTGAACCTCTTCTAATCCTGGGAGACCTATTAAGATGAAATACGTGGCACTGGATTCATTGCTATTGATACCCACCATACTGAAGGAATCAGGATATAACCAGTAGCAGGGAGATTGAGGCTGAAATACAAAGAGAAGTCATTGTCAGGTCCTCTAAAATCTCAAAGCCATACCACCCTTGATCCTAGTGTCCAGTTCTCTAACAAAATTCTAATTTCATTGCCTATCCAGATTCTGAATCTACCCTAAATTTTATCTAACCATAAACCACTTACCAGATGAAAATGAACTTAATTCTATTTGTGAATCCTATCTATATAATAAGTAAAATAGTAAGATGACACTCTGATATTATTAATCATTTAGTTTCTCAAACTAAAAAAATTACATCTTCTGTGGTATCTTTACACATACTTCCTATGTTTAATATTGATTATATTAACCATCTAAATTGTTGTCTAACTCTGGAAAATGAAACTATGGAGGGAGAAATATTAAATGAAAAACTTTTAATACTGTCATTATGACCATTTCATCAGTCAATTATAAGGTAACTATCATGCAAATCCATCAGTGGTAGTAATAACATAAACTGACATTGGAATCTAACTCAATCACCAATATAATCCTCTAATTTAGCATTAATCCTAACTTTAATGTCACACAGTAATAGAAGCAATTTCAATGTTAATTTAATAGCATCTTTATATTGTGATCAACCCTATTTCAATAAAAATATGACCGTAATTTTATCCTGAACTCTAAGTCTTAATTTCCACTATCTAATCAAGAGTTTACACTTGCCCTACATAATTTATATCCAAAAAAAAAAAAAAGTAACAGCTTCGGTGGATCTTAAACAATGTAGCCTTACAACCAGCACACCAGCACTTATTAAGAGTTATGATGTTGGTCTCCAACTAAGACTGTAGCCTTGCTCAGCCTCGTTCAATTGTCCCATGGTGCAGTGCTATCTTGTGTTTCTCATGTGAGCACTCATTCAGTGCCTTTAGCCATACTTTCATTTCCAGTTATTTCAATCAACTGAAGTCTGAAAATATTAAATGTAAACTCGAAAAATAAACAGTTCACATGCTTTAAATTGTATGTCAGTCTGGTTAGGTTGATAAAATGTAGCATCTGACTCTGCCCTGCTGAGGATATAAATTATCCTTTTACTTAGTCTACTGATAGACCCCTGATAGTCACCCAGTAGCTTCTTTAGTTAACAGATCTCCTATCAGAGTATTATGATTCAAGGAACCCTTATTTTATTTAATAATGCTCCAAAAGCACAGTATTTTTTTCAACTAATTTCAATCCATGGTTGGTTAAATGTACAGACATAGAATCTACAAATACTGAGGACTGGTTTGATGCATGTTTATATATAGGTGTATGGACATATGAATTCATAAATATACATATAAACATATGAGGACTGGGATGGGAGCTTTCATGGGTTACTTAAAAGAAGCTGGGTATAGGGCAGAGCTCATGTCTGGGCTCCACTGACTCAGGAAAGGCAATAAGATTTGTTCTACCACTGAGCTCTCATCTAGAGGTGGCCTCAAGAAGACAAAGAGATCAATGGAAGAACACACGGAGCACATATTTTAGAAAAGAGAACAACAGAATTTGGTTCCATCTAATAGAAGGAAAAAAGGTGAAGCAGAGAAGTGTAGTTAATCTATAACTTCAAGCAAAGAGGCAAAATCAATACCTCGCACTCTTCTAAGTTGTATTTGTAGTGACTCAGCTCCCTGCCTCTTAAAACTGCTCCTTCTCCTGTCTGATGCTCCTCATCTCTCTCAAATATCCAGTACCTGTGGTAACTCTGAGGTTCGGATATCCTACCCAGCCCTTGTCTGTTACCTGCATTGGGTGCTCACAAAGCAGCTGCCTTGTCTTGGCTGTGATAAGGTGCAAAGAGGCTATACAAGTGTAAACTCTTGATTGGATAGCTGGGGGAATGAAAATTCAGACTTGCCATTCAGGATAAAATTACCATCATAAAAAAAAAAAACAATCCTTAGACATCAGGGAAATGTAAATCAAAACAACCCTGAGAGTCCACCTCACAGCAGTCAGGATGGCTAAGATCAAAAACTCAGGTGATAGTAGATGCTGTCGAGGATGTGGAGAAAGAGGAACACTCCTCCATTGTTGGTGGGATTGCAAGATGGTGCAACCACTCTGGAAATCAGTCTGGCGGTTCTTCAGAAAATTGGACATAGCATTACCTGAAGACCCAGCTATACCACTCCTGAACATATACCCAGAAGATGCTCTAACATATAACAAGGACATATGCTCTACTATGTTCATAGCAGCCTTACTTATAATAGCCAGAAGCTGGAAAGAACCCAGATGTCCTTCAACAGAGGAATGAATACAGAAAATGTGGTACATTTACACAATGAAATACCACTCAGCTATTAAAATCAATGAATTCGAAAAATTCTTAGGTAAATAGACGGAACTAGAAAATATCATCCTGAGTGAAGTAACCCAATCACAAAAGAACACACATGGTATTCACTCACTGATAATTGGATATTAGCCCAGAAGCTTGAAATACCAAAGATTCAACTCACAGACCATATAAGCTCATGAAGAAGGAAGATGAAGTGTGGATGCTTCAGTCTTTCTTAGAAGGAATGACAAAATACTCAAAGGAGCAAATATGGAGACAGTGTGGGACAGAAACTGAAGGAGGGGCCATCTGGAGACCATTCCACCTGGGTATCCATGCCATGTGCAGTCAACAAAGGTAGAAGCTGATATGGACATCAGGAAGTGCATGCTGACAGGAGCCTGATATAGCTGTCTCCTTACAGGTCTGCCAGAGTCTGGCCTATTCAGAGGCAGATGCTCACAGCTAACCATTGAACTAATCATAGGGTTCCCAATGGAGGAGTTAGAGTGAAGACTGAAGGAGCTGAAAGGGTTTGCAGCCCAATGAGGAGAGCAACAATACCAACAAACCAGAGCTCCCAGAGTCAAAACCACCAGCCTGGGAGAACATAGGGAGGGACCCATGGCTCCAGCTCTATATATAGGGGAGGATGTCCTTGTGAGGCATAGGTGGGAGAGGAGATCCTTGGTCCCATGAAGGCTGGATGCCAAGTGTGGGGGAATTCGAGGGTGGGGAGGTGGGAGTGGGCGGTAGGTGGGGGCACATCCTCATAGAAGCAGGAGGAGGGAGGATGGGATGGCGGTTCCTGGGGGGGAGAGAAATGGGGTTAGGGGATAACATCTGAAATATAAATAAAATAGCCAATAAAAATTAAAAAAAAAATAAAAAACAAAAAAAAATCATCATTTTTTATTGAAATAGGTTTGATCGCAATAGAATAGATGCTGTTAAATTAATATTGAAATAGCTTCTATGAATTGGGTAGCGTTAAAGTTAAGATTAATGCCAGATATTAGATCATTAGATTAGTGATCATGTTAGGTTTCAATGTCAGTTGAATGTCAGCTTCTTCCCAAACTATATCAATTTCTTTAATAATAAATATATTTTTCTATATATAAACTCTTGACCCCAAATACATTTATTAATGTCTGAGTTCTCTTTTAGGGGTCCACATATATAATTCTGAGAGAGACTACATGGTTGTCTGTCGAGCATATAGATTTTTCTTCTCCAAAGACTAAAATCTCATAGAATCATTATATGAATCGGTCCTGTATCAGATCCCAGTTGTGAACAGCATTAACCAGAGTATAATTTACTATTTCTAAGCTTCAGTCTCCTCATAACCAAAACATTATTAATATCTCTCCCGCCTAAGGTGAGGAAGAAAGGACATGATGAGCAAAAAGTGTTTAAACAATACTTCACATACACTGAGTACAAACATTATAATGTTGTTCCTTTCTTCCTTGGTGCTGATCACCAGGTACACAAGCTAGGTGTAAGCTTCCTTATGTGCACAACACCTGTACTGACTAGATGAAATCAGGCCATTGCCTGCAGTAAAGTGCCCAGGTAAGGGTTGGAGGTGTGGTTCAGTTGGTATAGTCCTCGCCTAGCATGAAGGAAAGCCTTGATTTGATCCCACATGTATTCTTCACGCCCTCTCTGTTATTGTCTCTCTCTTATGTTACTTTTCCTAAGCCCTTTTCCCTATGGTATAATTAACCATTTCCTGTTCTGCATTCTCACATAACTTTGGTTCTCATTTCATGCAATTAGTCTTCTGATGATAAGAACTACTTATTTTTCCCCAAATCATAAATTCCTTATGTACCATGGACACTAGTCCAATTATTAATTAGCACCAAATTATTCTCATTCATAGTGAAATGAGTTTTACTAATAGAAGACTCCCTGAGTAAACACCTGATGCAGACAACATAGGAAGGTAAGGCTGCCAGATATCTGAACCTCAAAGACTGGAGAGGCAAGAAAAAGCATGCACATCGTCAGTGCAGGGTAATCTTAAAGGGAAGAACAAGAATCTTTAGGAATAAGCAAAATACCCAGAGACCCGAAAGGCATGTGAGAAAATTTTTTTAAATAAATAAATAAATAATAACAGCAACAACAAAAAAGCCCTGAAGCACAAAATAGCTGCAATGTCTTGGCTGTAATAAGTGCAAAGAAGATATGAAACACATAGTCTGTGCCTACAGGTGGCCATCACCTGGGATTCCCCTCCTGGAGACCTTAACCAGAAGAGACTCCAGTACTCTAGAAAGCCAGCTGTCTATGCTACCCAGCAGTTCATATAACAGATATGGGAGAGATAGCGTATTCCCAAGATTAAAATAAGCTGCATTAGGAAGCAAATTGGAGAAAAGTCATGGGTCAACATATGAAATTTTATGGCCTCTGAGAGCCAACTAATGCTGTCAGTAGAATCTTGTCGGGTAGAAACATGAATGTTGGCCTCAACTCTTGTGATAATAAATTATTAAATTATTATTGTTGTTATTATTATCTCAGACAATAAACTTCAGAATACTACTGTGAGTTTATGTAGAATCAGTTATGTCAAGAGACATTATAAAACAATCAAAGAGCACATTCTAATAAAAATGAGTGGAAATATATAAAATGAGATTTTCTTTTTTCACTCAACATCTTTATGTGCCTATTCTATGCACATACCCACACACATATATGTATAGCTATACTCAGTTGCTCACAGTGGCAAGAATGGGCATGGGTATACAGGCGCCAGAGATCAAAAAGGAAAGAGGCAGCTGGCCTGGGATGGAGGTACCACGGCAGCAAAGACAAGATCTGGACCTCAGAATCCATGCAGATGGGAATTGAGGGAAAGGAAAAGGACCCAGAGAGCCCAGGTGTCGCCTTTCAGACTGTACAGCCTTGACAAGTGCCAGTCTCCTCCAGCAATCCAAAAGATAGCAGAAAGAAGCAGCAACTCCCAGGAGGTCTTGTGGACTCAGCACCGGTTCACAATTAGAACCATTTGAGCTTGCTCAAGAAAGGCCTGGGAGCTTCCAAGCAAGTTGAAACTAACTCATTGTTTTGAAAATGAAACAAAATCAAGGAAAAATAAATTAAGAAATATTTTTTTCTTTCTCTTTATTTTATTTTACTTTATTTTTAGAAAGCCCACACACTATCACAGTCCCAAAGGAGCAACTCTGTTTTTAACTTTTCCCTAAAATGTCAAATTAGTTTAGTGAGTCCTGAGGATGTTTCTCTGGGAACTGTTCCGGCATCTTGACCTTTTCTCAGGAATCAGAGCCTAGAAACTTTGGTGTCTCGGTCTTCCTTCTGCACTTGAAAGCACTCCCTCCAATACCAGCTCAGCCCTTCTCACCAGCCCAGTTTCAACTTGCTTGGAAGCCCACATTCTTCACCAGAACTGCTGCCATTCTTCTGGAGCCCATGGAAAAGTTGGCAGAGAGGAAAGCCAGGCCTACGTGCCCTCTCTTCTGACCCAAGAACAATGAAGCAATCTCTGAGCCCTGACTTGTTGTTTTGTGACATTAACAGAGCTTACTGAATGTCTACAAAATGTCAGACACTGTGTTGCACCCGCACGTAAGTATTATCTCTCAGCTGAGAACAACCCTGCAGGACAGATGGAGTTCTCTGGATCCTTTCCTCATGATAGGAGAGAGAACTGGGACTCCAAGATCTTAAATGACATTCCTTAACACTCCATGAGTACAGTAGAAGCAGCCTCTTCTACCTCCTATCCTTTCATCTCAGGCTGCCTTAACTGACAAAAACTGGCAGGAGGTAAGGCAAGATGGTGGTCTGATAAATAGGACACTTGCCCAGGTATAATCTTAACAAAGAGAATAAAAGAGTGATAGAGAGGACTCTATGAGGGTGTGGTCACACTTCTCTTCCAGGCTCAGTTCCTGTGGCTGTGGCATGGTCACGCCCCACAGTAGAGAAGAAGAGAAGGGCTCTGTTCTACCTTCTAATCAGAGCCTTTCAGCAACTTGTCAGCAGGTAGTAATGCCATCTGACGAGAAACAACGGAAAGATTAAAACTCTGAGTGACCGATCTACATGCTTCCAATATGCCAAACCTAGCCTGTCCCTCTCACACTCTTTTCCATAACGGATGGTTTGTAGGAATGATTTCCTTGTTACATCTAAGGAATCTAAAAGGAAGGACCTGAATCCAGGAGCTTCTTTAGGAGTCAGAACACTTAAGCAGCTCTCCCTACTTGGGAAATGTAAAAAGTGGGAGGGGGCAAGACAGAATGAGGATGGGGATTTGTGGTCTTTGTTCTTACCTGGGATAAAAACAGTGTCTCATACCCAGAGCAACCATGTGACAGCCGCTGATGCTACCTCCAGCCTTTGCTGGAGTATGTGGAAGAGAATTCTCTTAGAGTGGAACCAGACATAGCTAGGAGATTATGGCTCACTCCTACTTCCAAGCCCAGAGAGGGAGGTAGGCCTGGTGGGCAATACTAGGCCTGCAGCCTGGAGGAGCCTGACGCTTGATTCTTGAGGAAGCCGACCTTTCCTTAACACTTCATATAAGTATTATCCGCAGAACCATGTTTACCCAAGTTACCAACATCCAGTGTGCCCTAAAACCTGCTTAGATTAGGTGAAGCAGGTGAACCTTGAAGGATGTTGGTCTTTTTTTGTCCTTAATGGTCACAATAATACTTGAAAGATAGAATTAAGTTTCTGCAGGTCAGTATGATCCCTTAAATTTACACCAGAAAGAGTACCTAGAGTTCAGGGTCTACCCACCCCCTACTTCCTGTGTAGTTACTTATCTACAAATTGGCAAAGCCAGAATCGGGCATTGGTAGCCTGTGAAGCTTGCCTGGCTGTGACTGCTGCCTGCAAGTGGGTAGCACCATAAATGCCTGATGGGAGACTTTGTTCAATGCACTCATTTTTCGTCCGACAGTTATTGCCTGGCTGGCTCCTGCCTGCCTAGCTCAGCAGTAAGCACTAGAAACCCTGAGGTTCAGAGTAAACAAGGCACAGCTCACAGCCTCCCAGTGTGCAGAATGACTGAGACAAGCATGCAGTCATCACAGCAATTTGTGATGAGTGCCAGGGCAAGGCTGAGAGCCGCAGCCTCCTGGAAGCAAAGGTAACAGTAGCCAGTAGCTCCCCAAAGTCTTCAGGCTCAGAGGGTCCCCTAAAGCGATGTTTTCAAGTTCAGGTTTGCAGGACCAGCTGCAGTTAGTCAGGATTCAGTGAGGTAAGGAGACAACAACACTCAGACAATAACACAGCTTTCCTGCTGCCCACATGTTGGGCTGGCGATGAATATTAAGACATAGGCAAGAAAGTTACAAGTTAAGGTAAGTGCACTAAAGATAAGTCAGAGCATTAGGATAGATGTGCATATCTGGTCCCAACAGCAATCAGAGGAGAACACAGCTAAGGAGACAACGTGCAAGCCTAGCAGTCTGTGATGAGATCAGGTGAGTCATTCACAGACCTAGGTAAAGAGCATTTGAGGCTTGGGAGAACACAGGTAGAAATGATCTTAAGGCAAGAGTCTCTGAGTTCATGAGCAGAAAGCTCAAAGCGCCAAAACTGAGAGCAAGGGAGGCCGAGAGCAATTCAGACCAGGCTAAGGGTCAGGTCATGGGTGCCTGAGGGCTTTGCCATAACTCTGAGAAACATAAACAACAGACATGGTTGAGAGTGTGTGTGTGTGTGTGTGTGTGTGTGTGTGTGTGTGTGTGTGTGTG